CCTCTCTCATTTCTAATTTTATTTATTTGAGACTTCCCTCTTTTTTTTTAGTGAGTCTGCCTAAAGGTTTGTCGATTTTGTTAATTTTTCGAAGAACCAACTCTTTGTTTCATTGATCCTTTCTACTGTCTTTTTTGCTTCAATATCATTTATTTCTGCTCTAATTCTTATTATTTCCCTCCTTCTACTGACTTTGGGCTTTGTTTGTTCTTCTTTTTCTAATTCTGTTAGGTGTCGTTTGAGGTTGTTTATGTAAGATTTTTCTTGCTTATTGAGGTGAGCCTGTGTTGCAATGAATTTCCCTCTTAGGACTGCCTTTGCTGCATCCCAAATAATTTAGTATGGTATGTTTTCATTTTCATTTGTCTCCAGATAATATGTGATTTCTTCTTTAATTTCTTCAATAATCCATTGTTTGTTCAGTAGCATGTTGTTTAGTCTCCACATTTTTGGCCCTTTCCCAGCTTTATTCTTGTAGTTGATTTCTAGTTTCATAGCATTGTGATCAGAAAAGATGCTTGATATTATTTCAACCCTCTTGAACTTATTGATGCTTGCTTTGTTTCCCAGGATATGGTCTATCCTTGAGAATGTTCCATGTGCACTTGAGAAGAATGTGTAACCTGCTGTTTTTGGAGGAAGTGTCCTGTATATATCTATTAGGTCCATCTGATCTAATTTTTCATTTAATTCTATAATTTCCTTGATTTTCTGTCTGGATGATCTGTCCATTGGTGTTAATGGGGTGTTGAGGTCCCCTAGTATTATTGTATTGCTGTTGATGTCTCCTTTTAGTTTTGTTAATAGTTTCCTTACGAATTTTGGTGCTCCTGTGTTAGGTGCGTATATATTTATAACTGTTATGTCATTTTGGTGGAGCGTCCCTTTTATCATTATATACTGCCCCTCTTTGTCTTTCTTTATCTGTTTTGCTTTGAAGTCTACTTTGTCTGATATAAGTATGGCAACACCTGCTTTCTTTTGTTCATTATTGGCTTGGAGTATTGTCTTCCATCCCTTCACTCTGAGTCTGTGTTTGTCTTTGGGGCTGAGGTGTGTTTCCTGGAGGCAGCATATTGTTGGATCTTGTTCTTTGATCCATCCTGCCACTCTGTGCCTTTTGATTGGAGAGTTCAATCCATTCACATTTAGAGTGATTATTGAAACGTGGGGGCCTACTGTTGCCATTTTATCACTCCTTTTCCGGTTCTTTTGCATTTTGTCCTGATGGAGAGCTGTTACTTTGTGTTATTGTCCTTCTGCTTATCTCCTTTGTCCTGGATTTTGTAACCCCTTTCCTTTTTTTGATTTTTCAGGAATGAGTTTCTTCCTGAGCAATTCTTGAAGAGGAGGTTTTGTGGTGATGAACTCCCTTAACTTTTGTTTATCTGGGAAAGTTTTTATTTCTCCATCGTAGGAATTCTGGGGCTTGACAAATGGGAGCCAACATGTTGTTTTGCAATCAAGAACATTTTAAAAAATAAAAATATTTCCCTCTATTACCACCTTCATTACATCAAAGGACATCTTATCACCCAAATTAGGAAGGACATAATCTCAGAATAAAAGACAACCCTTGAAGTTGAGTGAACTTGACTTCATAAATTATTTCACGTGTCCTTACACTTCTGACCTGCACAGAGCCCTCTGTCCCCAATGCCTGTGCTGTGGGTCCCCATGACACTGGCTGCCCCATGGGGCAACAAGGTCAAAGCTCATCTCCAAGGTCACAGGCTCCTCCAGCACGGCCATCACCTCAAATGCATATCCACTGAGAAGAGGGACAACAGTCACGATGACAGCAGTTTACACGTCACAGGGATTACTCAAGGAGAAAGTGCTTCCACATACATTCTCTCATGTGTCCTCACAGAACGCCTGTGGGTTAGGCACAGCCAGAAGCCATGGCACTGTAACGGGACCTGCCCGAGGCCATGTGGCAGCAGACAGCAGAGCACAGACAGAACGCTTCTCTCTAAGGCAAATTCTCCTTTGCTCAGTCTGATGTTTGCTGCATGTTCCTCTATTTCTACTTCTGCATGAACTTTTTATCTGAAGAAACAATTCATGGAAGAAGGAAAAAGGAAAACTTAAAATGATGGCACTTAAGCCTGATAACAGAAACATATTCAACGTGAGGAAATTGCTAATTGTCCTTTCTTTTTAAAATTACCTGTTTAACAACTGCATGTTGACTAAAATTTATGAAATGTCAGAAGAGAACATCAAAAACCAAGCATCACTGCCTTAAACCTTTTCTGGAACAAGACAGGGCATAAATAAATAAATATATAAATAACATAAGTAATATGAATAGATATAGATATGTGTGACATTGGTGGGTTTTGGAAATATATTCCAAAGCCCCACCCAGGTTGCCAAATTCTCAGAGGTATCAACACTGCCCCACCCCCACCCTGACCCCGACCCTGGCCCAATGTCCACAGCAGCCAAGGCCCAGAGCACAGGACTCTGTTCCACAGCCAGCAGGCGCCCCAGGAGTGGTGACGGTCGGGACACTCCTGGGATCGGGCTGGGGAAACACTCAGCTCTTCCCACTGGCCCATCGTGCCCCTCCCTGGGGTCCCCGAGTCCTGGAGAGGGCGCGAGGCCAAGCAGGCAGCAGCCTCCTCGAGTACCACATTTCCTCGCTACACGGGACTCGCTACACGGGACTCGGGCACCCCGGGGCCTAGAAACGGACTTGATAAAGTGCTCCAATGGAGAGTTACTCTTTCCTGTTCTGTGTCTTATCCTTGCCAACAAAAGAAAAAGGGAGCTTTAGGCAAGTGTCACTGCAAACAAGAAGGAATGGCCTGAGGCAGCTACCTCCACTGTTATCAGATTCACATTTGGCAGCTATGAAGGTTCAAACTAGAGGCTGAAACACCGAAGTTGCAGGGATGCCAAAAAAATCAGCAAAGGCTGGCTGAACAAAGAGGAAGCCGATGTGTCCTCTGCAAAGGAAGAGCTGAGGCCCCAGCCCCTGCAGACCCACCCAGAGCACAGCACACTCCAGGGCCAGAGCAAGAGAGGCCCTACTCCCTGGCTCATCCCCTCCCCACTCACACTACCTCCCTAGCTAGGTCTGGGCGAGGCCCAACAATGAACATCAACTCAGTCCACTGCTTCTAGAGAGACCCTGGAGAAATGATGTGATCCCCCAGAAACAAGCCCTACGCTTGCTTCATTGGGCAAAGGAGCCTGACGCCCACTCTTTGCTGGGCCTGGTCCTGGGCCCTTGCCTCTGTGCAGCCTGAAGGCTGTGCCCGCACGTGTGGGACTCCTGCACTGGCAGTATTCCCAGGTGCTGCTTTCCAGAAGGTTCGAGAACAGAGCCAGCCTCCGACCCGTGGCAGGCACGGGGAAGCCCTGTCCCTCACATGCCCAGCAGAAAGCACTGGGCAGGCAGGCTGAGAGCCTGCTGCAGGTCTACAACATGGCTCACCTGAAGAGAGCCCGAGCCAAGAGGGCAGCAGAGGAGGGGACCGCCAGTTGGAAGAGCTTAAAAGTAAGGTACACTAGCCACCCACTCCTGAAACCCTCTCTCACCAAGGTGACAAGCCACTGCTCACACACCTCCAGCGACATGGAGCCCCCTCCAGTGACCCAGTCCACCTATGGGTGGCTCAGACTTCCATACAACCCCTCCCTATATCCAGGCGGAGCCCGACTTCCCCAGTTCCTGGCCTAGCCACAGCCCAATTTTGGTCCTGGTTCCACGCTGAGTGCCTCGAAGGACACACACACCTAGCCCCCTCCTGGGCTGAAGGCCCTGCAGCACTTGGCTCTGGCTGCAGCCTTCTCAGCCGGCCTCCACCCTCAGCTCCTCTCCTCTCTCAGGAGGACTCTCCTGACTTCACTATGACCGACGCTGAGCTCTGAATGCACCCAGCCAACCAGGGCCCTGGTCCTCTAGGAGCAACACAGAGCCAATCCCAGGCCTCAGGAAGCCATCCCACATTTATGCCACGGTCACAGCTGGGAACGATGTCACTTCGGCTGAGTAAAGCCTCCAGCGACTGCACCTTCCTCTCGGAATCCTCCAAGGACTTCTCCCCTCGGACCTCATACATACGTGGACAGGTCAGAGCCCATCCACGACACAGGAGGGGAGCTTTACAATTCTGTCCTCGAGCTGCACAAGACAATGACCAGACAGTCCCTGTCTGGTCAGCTAAAACATATAATGATGTCAATAATTAAATAAACCCATATCATTAGTTCAATGCTTACAAATTAGATTTCTCTTATTACAGAAAGTCTAAACACAGATTTGAAATCTGCCCATTTCTAAACACTTCTAAAGGTTAAAATCACCGTGGATCCACACAATGGGCCTCACAGGCTTCAAATGACCACACGTGGTTTCTCTGGAAACAGCAGCGCCTGGAGCGAGCGCTCTGAAGAGGCAGCCGCTGGCCCACCTGCACTCACAGCCACATCCCTGGCTGCACCCAGGTGTGAGAGTGAACCCTGCCCAGAGCCCCAGACTTGGGGAGGATAACCCATGCCATCTCTCTCCCTTGCAGCCATCCCGACAGTTCAGGGGAAAACTTCTGACCTCAATGCTATCCCCTTTCTCAAGTTCCAGGAGCAACTCGCAAGACATTAGGTCCAAAACAGTGAAGAGTGATCAACCAACCGCCAGATGTTTTGTCCACTCGACACCAACAACTGAAAGCTTGGAACCACGCAGAGGACAAGTGAATTTCCACTTTCTGGTAAGTGCAGGGACCAGGAGAGCTGCAGGTATTTTCTTCCGTGAGAACTGGCAGTGGATGCTGTTGGACGGTCCTTGGTCCAAATGTAGGCAGTCAATTAAGGGCTAGTTTGGTGTGGGCCTCCTAAAATCAGTCACCGTCTGGAAGCTCCCCAGGTGAGATGGCAGAGAACTCATGAGACCTGGTGGCATGATGCTAGGCACAGTTAGGTGTCAGCACAGGTGTAGCGTGGTGGAAGTTTGAGCGTTACCTCTCTTGATTTTGAATAAATGCAGGTATTGACTCTGAGATAACCCAGCTAATCCATGCGGCCAGGAAACCATCCTTGAATGAAGACAATGAATATGACACTCTCACCACTAGGAGTGAACACCGAAGTGGCAAGGAAGAAGAGTATGTATGACAAATGCCATGTGTCAACTCCAGGAGATGGGAAAACAAACTAGCAAGTTCATGAACTGCATTTCTGCATTCTACTCTTTTACCAAAACTCTCTTTTCATTTGGGTATTATAAAACTTTAATTGAACAATTAAATTGAGAAGTAAAAATATAAACAGAAGAACAGTTCTAGAAAGTGCTAGGGGTCTTCCCTACTGGGGATATTAGCAGGCCTCCAACCCCCACCTGCACCCATTTCAAGGCCCCTTTCATTAATATGCAACTGTGAAAATCCAAAACAGATATTAGGGAAGAACAAAATTAAGTTTTGCATGAGCCTCTCGGCTGACAATGACCCAAGGACTGTGTGATGCCCCGACCAAGCACCTGAGCTGGAATTACAATCCAATCCACGAGCCATTCCTGCTCTACCAACAGCCAGATCGGACTGAGGCAGCAGCCCAGGGCGTGGCTCACAGGGCAAGAATCGATGTCAGCTGTCCCTGCAGATCGCCTTCTTCCTCACCGCAATCAACGTCTGCCCTTGACTTCTACTCATAAAGTAGAAACTTCTTTATGGGGTCTGGCAGAGGCAGCGAAGAAATCAGATGGAGTCAGTATTTGCCAAGAGCTCTTCTCACGGCCAGACTGCACAGATTCAGCAAGGTCCTGGGGACACTTCTGGCCTCTTTAAAGACGTGCAATGCCTCGGGGTCGGCCTTCCTTCTGCCTCTCGACTCTGGGCCCAAGGATTCCCACTTCACCAGGTTCAGGTTCGCTCCACACGCTACGAGCAGGCTCACAAAGGCCGCCTCACAGCCATGACGCAGGACTGCATCCATGACGCACCCGGGGGAGCCCCTGTAGAAGCCCTGCGTGTTGACAGGGCCGTTGCAGTTGAAGTCGGGGTTCGCCCTAGCCTGGAGGAGCAGCTTGAAGCACTGGAGGTTGTGGTAGGCCGCGCTGATGTACAAGGGGCAGACGACCAAGGAGCTGAGGCGCCGGGGAAAAAGGGGGCCGGATGTCTGGAGTCAGGTGGTGGTTGACATCGACATCAGCCCCATACCTGATGAGAGCCTTCAGTATGTCGGCCCTGCCCACACGAGAGGCGTGGTAGACAGGCGTACTGCGATGGTGCCGGCTTCCGTTGGGGTCGGCGCCGGCTTCAAGGAGGATCTGGGCACTCTCCAGGTGCCCGTTCACCACAGCCACATACAGGGCAGTCTTGTCCCTTTACATCCACCAGATCCACCTCGGCCCCCTTCTGGATCAGGAAGTCCACACAGTTCCCACGGCCAGCAGTGGCCGCGATTCGCAGTGGTGTGCAGGGCAGCCAGCCACAGCACCAGACAGATTTCTCGTTGATGCGGCTCCGGTAGCCCTCCTCTTGTAACAGGCTCCTGAGGGTCTGGAGGTCCCCCACGCAGGCTGCATCATGGAGCCTGGTGTCCTCGCAGTGCTCTAGCGGATGGTCACAAAACTGCTCCCTCAGCCACTCCTTCAGATTAGGACCTGCACTGCGGACCCCAGCCCGGCCCGGCCCGCCCGCCGGGGCCGCCGCCCTCCACCATGGGAGCTCCGACCTTCGGCCCGTCCGCAGCCGGCCTCCTAGGGGCCCCGGCCCCAACGCGCCCCGCCCCCAACTTCAGTCTTTTGTGTGTAGATATCCAGTTGTCTCAGCATCAATTTTGGAAAGACTATTCTTTATCCATTGAAATGTTTCGGCACTTTGTCAAAAAACAATTAACCATAAATGTAAAGGATTATTTCTGGACCTTCAATTCTATTACATTTATCTCCATGTCTCCTTATGCTAGTTCCACACTGTCTTGATTACTGTAGATTTATAGTAGGTTGTGAAATTAGGAAGTGTGACTTTCCCAACTATATTTTTCTTTTGCAATATTGTCTAGGCTATTCTGGGTCACTTGCATTTCCATGTGAATTTTAAGATCAGTTTACCAATTTCTATTTTAAAAGACAGCTGGGATTTTGACAGGAATTGCATTGAATTTGTAGATGAATTTGGGGAGTATTACTATCTTAAGTCTTCTGATCCATGAACATGGGATATCTTCCCATTTATTTAGCTCTTCTTTAATTTGTAGTTTTCAGTGTATGTCTTACACTTCTTTTGTTAAACTTATACAAAGTATTATTTTTGATGCTGTTTTAAATGGAATTGTGTAATTAATTTCATTTTGGATTGTTCATTGTTACTGTATATAAATTAAATTAGTTCTTATCTATGTCATACAACCTTTCTGAATTCCTTTATTAGTTATAACAGCTTTTTTTGTATGTAAAGTCCTTAAAATTTTCTATATGCAGGACCGTGTCATCCATGATTAGTTGTGCTTCTTCCTTTCCAATCTGAGTATCTTTTAATTTTATTTCCTTGCCTAATCATCCAGGCTAGAACCTCCAGTTCAATTTTGAACAGAAGTGGCAAGAAAGGGTAACCTTGTCTTGTTCCTGACCTTAAGGGGAAAGAATTCACTCTTTCACCATTAAGTTTGACATTTGCTTGCAGTTTTTCTAGATAACCTTTATCTAATTCATATTCTATTTTGATCTTAATGAGATTTGACCATGTTACTTGCATAAACATACCTCAGATTTTTGCATGCCTTTGGTTGCATTTCTAGAGTTCTGGAAAAGTTGATTGTGATAATTTTTGGCACAATCTTGTTGCTTTTATGGAAGACTAGGTTTTTGGAGATCCTTACTCTACACTTCTGTAAGTGCTTCTCCTAGTCATATATTTTAGTGCTGAAAAATTCTAATATTTATTTGCTGGCCTTTCTGCTTTGCCTATTTTTACTCCCTCCTCTTAGTGGAGGATAACTTGAAGCTATCTGAAAATGATAGACTTGGATGGGAAGCCTGTCTGAGTTTTGCCTCTGAGTTGATGGTAATTGTCTTACAGGTAAGACTTTATAGGTGATATTCAAGAAAAATTTGGGGCCACAGACTTGTCTCCTGCTAGGCTGCCACTTTATAACCATAGCCACTTCTCATGAGTTCATCTTTCCTATAGGACTTTGGCAAAAGCAGCAAGAATCAGCCGCTTGACATCAAAATTTTGTTTTTTCAACCAGTTGTGCAGAAGGGGATTTAACACTGAGAATTAGAAGTTATCAAAATTATTGGAAAAGCTAGAGGAGTGTACTCTAGGATGACCCTTGAGAAATTACTCCTAGAATCTGTCCCCTGGCACTAAAACTAACTTCTTGACACACACAAAGCTAGAGATTGGATACTAACAAATTCACAACCTTACTTTTGAGCAGTTGAGAACAAAAAGCTACAATAAGATGGCCTCCAGCCAAATTCTGCCTTCTAAATGTCGTGTGAATGCACTTAATTGGAAAAGATAATTTGCATCCAGAAATCTGGCTGTAAGAGAATCTATAGGAAAACATACTGGAAAGAGGATCAAATGAAAGTTGAGAGAGCCAAATGAGCTTATTTACTGCATATGTCAAACGAAAAAAAAGTCCTGGCATCAAAACCCTTTAGAAATGACAAATATCTCTGACAGAAATTGTGTTCTGAATAGAAACAAATATTTAAAAATATAAATCTAGCTTGTAAAAACTAATGCTCTACGTATGGAACTTAGAGTTTGAACAGTGTGGAAAAGATACATATTTTATATCTTTTTATTGCAGTTGTTGAGAGCACAGGTAGAAATTAGCTTTATTTATGTGTAGATTTAAAGATAATTGTTATGTAAACCAACATGCCTGTTCGTAATATTTGTGGGGTATAAGACAAGAGGAAAACTAGAGATCCCTGGCCCATGCCTGGTACTGGTTATCTCCCCACTTCAAAGCGTAACTACATAACTACAGAAGCTGCTTCTGAGATGATTCACACTATTAACAAACATAAAAATTTTTCATCCTCAGTTAGCAAGGTGTATTGACTTTCCCTTGTTGCAGTTGTCTCCATTATTGCGTGGTTTTTTTTTCTAGCTCCACCAAGCTGCATCAGTAAGTTGCATCAGCCTTTAATGGAGACAGTTTTGTCACTGAAGTAGACTGCCAATTTCACTAATTTTTTTAGATTCTACCATTTTCCTGTACATGGAGGTGTGGGGGATCGGAATTGGCCACCCCAAGGTATGTCTCTTTGGCATGAGGATTATTTGGGGCTGGTTACTTTTTAAAAACTGCAGATAGGAAAGAAACTCTGAAAACTAGAATTTTCTTACCCTTTGTTAAGAGACATTTACATTTGTAAAGGAAATCTCCATCTGTGAAGGTGTCTCCCTTTCTGTACCAGGAAGAAGGGGGGATGACCTTATCTCTAGAAACTCTTAATCAATGTGGAAGGCAAGGACTTAAATCTGTGTAATAATCTTACTCTTGTTTACTGTACTTGTCTGGTGACCTCTCATAACTGACTTCTCCCACCCCCAACATTCTCCTTTGTCTTTAGCTGAAGATGATATTTAAGGTAGTGGCTTCAGCCATTTTGGGAAGTTGGTCAGTTTGCCTGAGCCTCTCCCATGTATGCATGTTATAAAGCTTTGTTTAATTTTCTCCTGTTATTCTGTCTCATGTGAATTTAATTCGTTCTCTGGCCAGAAGGACCCAGAGCAGGTAGAGGAAATGTCTTCCTCCCCTACAGAGGTGAGTGAGTGGGAAGGTGGAGAGGGTTAATAATTCATCCTCTTAAAAAAGAGGATTAAATCAAATCAACAATATTTTAAAAAGATTAAATACCAGTTTTGGTAAGGAGGTGGTTAATGAGTGTTTTTATGTACTGCTATTAGGAATGTGAATCAATAAAATATTTGAGGAGGGCAGTTTTGCAGCATGCATCATCATGACAAAATTATTCCTATTACCTTTCCACTCAAGACTACTTCCATAAAATAGTAAGAATAATATATTTTTTGCAGTTACTGAGATCTTACCTAAGGCCATATACGGTGCTGTGCTTCCAAGATGACACAGGAAGTGTTTGTTTGCTTAAATAACAGATTGATATATGACTGAGATGTGTTCTTTTGTACTTTTCCAAGTCAATAGCACATCTTTCTGGGAATCTTTCCACTCTTATTTTCTCTTTCTCTCTCTCTCTTTTTCTTCTTCTTCTTTTTTTCTTAAGGAAGCTCTTTGCTGGGACCACAGCATTTGATCCATGGATCCAAATCAATTTTGTTTAGCTTTTCTCATCTGTTGCATTGTAGCCTTCTGTGTTAGCTGCGTATTTCTCTTTATTGCTTCTCTGCTTTGGGTCCTCAGTGAGACATGACCAAACTCAGAAATAGAATTGAAACATTTTTATATTGATGACTTGCAAACTTTATCTCCATCCCAGGACTCTTCTATGAACTCCAGATCCATTCATCCAACTGCTTATCTGACGTTTTCAGTTGAATGTCTCACAAGATTCTTAAGAATTAACATTTCCAAAAAGGACTATTGTGAAAAGAATTTGTGAATAAGAAAATGATAGTGTGATGAAAAATAATCAGATTTTCTGAACAATGAAATCACCACTTACTGGCTAAGTGAGCTTGAGCACGTTACTTAATTTTCCTGAGCTTCAAGGATCAATGGAGATGTTGAGGGGATGGGCTGGATGGGTTTTCTTCTCTTCAGGCTTTCTGCTCTATGAAGGGGTTGGTGGGGGCGTCTGTTAGAGTAAAATGAAGGCTGGATGAATATTTGCGGGTTACATATCATCTTTTGAACCTCTTATCAAGCCAAAATCTCCAAAGGACCACCATTTTTCTTCCTTCCTACTCTGATATCCTCCCCATTTGCATCTACCACAATGAACTGAAAGAAATTTGGGAATACTTTAGATAGGAATTAATTTGTTCAAAAGTGAATTTGATAAGAAACCTGCAAGATGATATATGCCCCCCAAATAATTTTCATAGTTTGATTTTGAGACAACACAGTAGCTGAAGGTGATGTTCTTTCTCTCTCTGAGAAAAAAAGTACATCTAGACTTTAATGTAGCTGATCAGCTTCCTGAGTCCAGAGATTGAAACCTGGGGGAACAAAGAGGCTAAACTGAGGCTTAAGCATTTTGGCAATCTCCAGAACTGAGTGATGGTGGAAGGGCTTGGTGGGGCTCTAGGAGCAGGGCTGATGGCTGAAGAATCATATGGCATACAAAATGATGGTCACCTCCCTTACACCACTAGAACTTGCAACTCAGATTGCAAAATAAGACCCAATACATGGCATTATACAAAAGGATAAACAGTGCTATAGAAGCTGAAGAACTTTAGTAAAAGATGAGCTAGAAACAGTCAGTGCTATGAAAAAGTTCAGAGTCTGGATAGGGAGACAGGCCTCAAAACAATAATACTCATGATGGAGGTATGGCTAATATCAATGACAACATAGAGGAGGAAACAAGTTCCTGAGGGAGTCAGGAGTACTTGTGCCTGGTTTTTAAGGAAGCGTTGGAGTTTATCAGCCAGCAAAGCTGTGGGAGTGACATTCCAAGAAGAAGGAACAGAATTTGCAAAACTCAGGAAAATTTATTTGGCAAATATTTATTGGAGAACTTTGTGTTCTCTAAACACTATGAAAGGCTCTGGGGCTACAGAGGAAATTAACATGGCCTCTATGCAGGTCACTAGTGAATCCATGTACCCTGGGTTGGAAAGGAAAACTTTCACAAGCCAGTTCTCATAGTTTGAAAAGGCATGAGGAAGGCCATCTTGCCATCCAGTCGGTTCCCCACAGGGGAAGTCAATGCCTTGGTATAGTCCCCATTATTCACAACTTTGTAGATCCAGAAATTAAATTTTTTTTTTATATATCCAGAAGGAATTGGGCTACAGAAGACTCTCTCACATTGACAAAATGTACCAAAGTTACACCCAGATGGCACATAAAACGATCAGTGGTACAATCGGATGAACCATTTAAAACTTTTAACACATATTTAATCATGTTTTAACAAATGATACACTGTGCCTACTTAAATTTGTTTTTATGGCCACTTGTCATTTTTGACAAGTGATGTGGGATTTCTATTTACGGTAGTGATACAAAGTTTTGTTTTAAAATAAACTTAATGATGTATAACCATC